TTGCTATGCCTTACAAATCCCGTAACAGAGACAAAAGAAATTATAGAAATATAATACATTAAATGGGTAGAAGAAATTCCTATCGCTGACTGTGTAGGCCCAGTCTAAACAAACTGATGTGAAAATACAATGAAACAGATATCCACTTGAATATTTTTTTTTGTTTCAGGCTCTAAAAAGACTGGGATGTTTTGCAATATGTAAATCACTGGATCTCTATTATGCAAGAAGTCTTAACTTCGATTAATAAAAATATCTCATTTGACACATATCCTCATTAGTGATGGTTGTAACCTGTGATCGGAGTTCTTTCTTTTCCCCATTTGCCCCCAAAACTCTTCCTGAATGCAGTTTTAATAGACTGTTGTAACAACCTGAAGGTACATCATGCAGTGATTTAAACTTTTGACGAAAGGTTTTTATGGTCAATCATGTATGGGCTGAGCATGGTAATGTATTATCTTGAAGGGAAATATGTCAAACTCATTTAATATGTAATTTGAAGGATCAATTTGTTAAAAAATTGCATTAATCAGTTCCTTGTGAGTAACAACAATAAAACATAAGTAGTGATGTTACATGATGTTCATAATTATTTTTTAACGTGACATCTAAAGATTCTCAATTTTATTTACAATGAACTGAAAAAAAATCCTGTCATAAGATTTGTTATTCATATCATCATGGCCATGATAGCTACCGAGGACACAGAGAACTCTGAGGTAAAAGATCGAGATAACTGAAAGAGAAACAAAGAGAGAAATCAATTAAATATCCTAGTGTTGGATTTGGGAAGTACAGTCAAACCTCTGTAAAGGGACAAGAGAGGGAAAAAGTATGTGGTCACATCCTCTAGAAGGACTTTACCTAAATCCACTTAAAAGTTTTACCCATACTTGTTTCAATACCTTTTCAGGACACTGTATTACCCAAAGCAAATGAAGCCATGTTGAAATAAGATCTCTCTTGATTCAATCTCTCTTTAACATTAAAATCTTACTGTCATATGTATAATAGAGTAGAGAGATAACAAAAAGGTGATGCAAATCTAAACACAGCCTGTTGCAAACACAAGAAACAGAAAGTTTATGTATACCCTAGCCACAGAGGATGAGTCTGCAAAATGTTCTCAAATTGCTTTCATCAGACTTTGTAAAAAACCCAGAAGGGAGTACTCCCTTATATGAACTATATAGGTATGTGTGGCCCCAAAGCGCATGGTTTTTTAGCAGTTTTGGTCATAAATAGGGTTTTGATTTTGGCCATTTTGGTTATAAATAGGGTTTGGTTTTTGCACTCTAGTCTTGAACTGGGTATGTTTTTATAGAAGCTACTTTTTCATCATTATCGATAAGAACACCAACAAATTAAAGCCCTTCATAAATTATGTTTAGGGCCACTGTGCCAGCCACGACAGGCATAAATAGGTTATCACAATTTTGGTCAGGTCATAAATATGGTAGGGAAAATCACAGATTTTGGTCATAAAGAGAGTAAGGTTTTGGGAAGTGGGCCGCACACCCCCACACAATTTTTCTAGGGAGTACCCCACCCCCTCTCCCCCTGTGGTAAATGAGGCATTTTCTATTCTTTTGGTAAAATAGTGCTGACAGGATGTAGTTGCATGTCATAACCAAGTTTACAGTACAAATGCATGGCCTCATGCAAAATGAGTAACAATCAGACACATGCATGATGTGATAAGAATTGTTTACCTTGGGTTGTACATTTCTATTCGTCCTCTCAATATTGATGGTCCCAGCAGTGTGCTAAACTGAGAAAGACACTCAGAAGCAGCTGTTGATGTGAGGGCATTATCGCTTTTCTGTAAAAATAATGTTGATATCAATGATGGTGACCTGGGCAATGAAGAACACAAACATCTCATTGAAGACAATAGTACATGTACAACCATGTGAAGATTTGAACTGTGTACAGCAGAACCTCCACTACCAGTCTCTATATAGCAGTAATTTTATTTCATGTATTATTAATAGCACAAATAAATATCCCTGTAGGTTTTAACTTATAGAAAAAAACAACAACATTACACCTATATGCTACCTGTTTCATGAACGACAATAAAGAGAGTTCCTACTTTGATGGAGAATCTTCTTTAACAAAGGGTTTAACAAGCTAACACAATGAGTTACACTTACCAGGCTGTAGAATATTATGTCAATGAATAGCTCAAAGTGTCTTTTAAATTGATTCTTTCCAATCCCTTTGGCTACAACTGGCAACTATGCAACAAAATAGACACAGCAAACAGTCAGACATTTTTGAAGCATCAATGTTACACTTTATTTAGTGTATTTCAAATGTTTACCATTTATCATAAAGTAAAAATAGAGTTGAACCTCTGGTTGCGACCACCTCTCCTCAGCGATCAGTTCTCCAAAATACCAAAAGTTTCCAAGTAAATTCTCTATTGTTCCCTCGTACTATTACCTTTAAACTAAAGTACACAGTAATGCAACATTGTTACCATGAAGTTGGTTACCTGTGTACACACAGTTTCCAGCAGATGCAGATGTTGTGTGTAATGTTTGAAATGGGCNTTCGTCCTCTCAATATTGATGGTCCCAGCAGTGTGCTAAACTGAGAAAGACACTCAGAAGCAGCTGTTGATGTGAGGGCATTATCGCTTTTCTGTAAAAATAATGTTGATATCAATGACAGTGAGCTGGGCAATAAAGAATACAAACATCTCATACATGTACAACCATGTGAAGATTTCTGCATACAACAGAACCTCTACTAATAGTCTCTATATGGCAGCCATATATCTATGATGGCTGGTAGTCTTCATTGCAGCCATTTGCCAATCCATTCTTTTCACTCTAATCAAGACCTCCCCTTAACAGCCATCTCTCTACAACAGTCTGACAGCTGATTCTGTCCCAATAGGTTGGCCATTGTAGGGAGATGGACCTTGCTACATGTATATCACACTCAACTCAATCTCCCTTGGATATGCTTTTTCAGCTATTACCATCTGAAACCATTGTCCACTTCCCTTGAGAGTTAGAGATACTGGGGTTCAACTGTAATTTTATTTAATTTATTATTAATAGCACCAATAAATATCCCTGTAGGTTTTTAACTTATAGATAAAACAATTACCTCTATATGATACCTGTTTCATGAATGGCAATAGAGAGAATTCCTACTTTGNACAATTCAAAGTGCTTGTCAAATTGAAAATGTAATTAACATTTACTTATTTTATTACTTCAACTTACCTGCACTCTTGAGGAAAACAGAGAACAAAATTTCCACAAGCTACACAAGCAGCTAGAAATAACAGAACTATATTAATCTCTAAATTCTCCAGCAATGGCTGTTCTTTTATATCTAACTTCTGTTAATCAAAACGAATTTTTAACAAATTATGACCTAATGAAGTATTTCATAATAACTTTTAAGTGCAAAGAGGTTTGCTAAAAACAATATTCTCCAAAAAGCAATGGAAAATGTGTGAAAACTGCAAGAGAAAATATTAAAATATATGCTTGAAACATCTAATTAAAAAGAATTTAAGGAACATTACTGTCAGACATACCATCCCTAACAGGCCAGCTGTCATCTTTGAAACAACACACCAAAGCTTGTAGAAGATCTGAAACATGTGGCCGTAAACTATCAGGGTTCACCTAAAACAATCAAATGAAAAACACAATTATATTGGTATATATTCTTGATGTAAATTATATTGGACAGTTGGTGAAATCTATATGATCTTGCTAACCCTTCTCAACATACTAGTAAGTTTCAAAAAATGAACCATATAGTTGTTGTGGATAATAACAAAGCATTTTTGAGACCAGATGTCCTTCAATATAAAATCACTGATGATAATAGTTACCTAACCTTAGTTCCTAGTTCAGCTATGCAGGCACAAGCAGCCTCTCTGACGGCATGGTTATCTGCCTTGGTCTGACTTATATAAAATTCCACCTGTATTTAGCAAGCAGAATAGACATCCACATCATGAATACAAGAAATTGTCTTAACTGATCAGATTGTCAAACTGTTGTGCTTATTGAGCAGGGAAGCAAACACACTTTTGTTAAGTAAGGCTCATTTAATTTTGCTCTCAAGTAAACATACAACTAGTAAATTATTATCATTGTCTTTTGAAAATTGAAATGGAACATATACCGCAAAATATACATTCAAGTAAATTATATATTAACAACTCTTCCTACCCCTATGCTAAACAACAATCCATAATTCACACATTAAATATTTTAATTACAGACTTCATCTGTACCAAGTAAAAAAAATCCCCTGGCTAAAACTCTCACATCTCGAAATTATTGTTAACTCCACTTTCCCCTGAAATTACTCCTCCAAGGTTGATATTCATGAACAACTTGAGACACCATAAAGTATTTAACACAACACAAAGAGGGTGAAGGAAGAAACAAAACTAAAACATGAAGTTCTTCAACTAGTGTATGTGGATATTGCTGCCTGAACAAAGTCATATAGCACAAATGACTGTTACCAAGCAAAAAACTCTGCACTCACTGTTTCAGTGATGTATTTTTCCACCATGTGCTTCCCTTCAGTTCCTACAACCATTTTCCAGCTTTGTTGGGAGTATATTCTTACACCTTCTGCCACATAATACCTTCAACAAATATCATTTATCAAAAACAGTTGTTTCAAAGATCAATACAGTTCATTTCTAGCATTGTCACAAAGTTTTGGTATAAGTGGCTTTATCGTTGGCATGGACACAGTTTCTTCCCCGTTTATGGAGGCAACATGCACATCACCCATCCCCCCTCAGTCCCTTACCCTACCCCTGCCCAAAGATCCTGCTAAGAACTTCTTAGATCTTGATAAACCTTGCAAAGGCCTTCACAAGATCTCTCTGTCATTTCATATTCATTTTGTAAGATCTTTTGAAGATCTTTTAATGATCCTTGAAAGATCCTTCCCTTGTAAAATCCTCAAAGATCCTATAGTAGGAGTTTTTCACCAGGTCACCCAGCATATTAACAGCCAAGATCTAATGACAATAACGTTTAACATCTAAAGCTAATATGATCTAACCTGTTAAGACACATGGCTGGTAAAACCTTAGGGTAAAATCTTTCTCTTGATTCACTGTTTGGCAAAGTCTGCAAAAACTGCCTGGTAGCCACAGATGCTGCAAGGCGAACCTAACATAAAAAACATTTGATGTAAAGTTGAGAGCTTTTTTCATTGAGACAGAAGTAATTTGTTTAAAAAAAACACACACACACAAAGGATTGCTATTTATAATAATCAAGCCCTTCTATTTTGATGATATCTAAAATAATCTGTGTATTTATTTTTACTAGATTTGAGTTCTGAGAGAATACATGTACATATTTTTGCATCATTCACTCCTAAATTTCCTAACTCTTACATTAGTATACGCTGAAGCTAGAAGTCAGAGAATTGAACAGAGTATGAACAATTTTGAGGGAGCTAACTTCAAAGTGTAGGACTTAACAGACATAATTTGACAGAACAACAGAAAAAATTATATGTGGAAAATAATACTTGTCTAGAAGCCAGGCTTCTCATTTTTGACATCACAAAATTATTCCTTTACTATCAGCCCTCTGACATATTAATGAGCATACATTTTTTATTTGAGACAATGCAACAAAATTCTGGTGATCAAATATTATGTCTTGTTACATAATTCTGGTAACAAGTGCTTGATTAAACAAGAGCCTTTCTGTAATTGGTAAGTTTAAGTTACTGACATAAATTTTATGATATGTTTATGGAACTGAATTTTTGCAAATAAATATTAGAAACAGTCATGTGTCATTCCACATATATCTTACTTGACTCCAGTTATCAGACAATCCTTTTTTCAGATAATCTGCAAATTGTTCTCCATGCTTAAGAATAGCATTCTCTTCAATATCTACCACCATTGCCTCTGCTGCTTCAGAGATTTCATCTGAAACAAACACAATGGAAAAATGATGTTCAACACCACTAGAAGCCACTTCAAGCTGACCATCACAGCTAAACGTTTGCGACTAGTTTTAAGTCATCTTCTAAAATGCCATCTTCTTCATAAAAGTGATCTTCAGGTTGAAGAAAAAATGAAGATGTCTTAACTAGTTGAAAAATTCAGTTTTTTTTTTAAATTTTAAATTTTTTAGTCTTGTAAATGGAATCTTCTCACATACTGCTGGGAGCGATGCCAAGCTGAACCAAACAGCCTGACCTCTATTAATGTAGCAACATAACATATTAACTGTCTTACAATGGCACAAAAAAGTGACTAGAAAATAACTGATTCACTGCAACTAAATAGACTCTAAAAATACTTGGGTGGGTGGGGCATGTCAGGCAATGGCCGATGGCAAAACAAAAACTGAACCATGTACAAGCCATGTGACCTAAACCACTTCATACACTTGTACCCAGACTCCCAGCTGTGTGTGAGAAAATTGTTTTCCACTTCATTCATTCCTCAGCCAGCAGAAAACCACACATCACAAAATTTAAAATTTATATATTTTTTGGAAATTTTAACAAAACTTTGAAATCCTACCTTGCTTTCTTCCCAGTCGAACAAGTGAAGCACAAAGTTGATAACCGGTTTCTCGCACAAATCTGTTTGTGTGGTTCAGAGCCTGGAATATGAGATCCAGAAGATTCTGAGTGATGTGCTCATTAAATGCCTTGCCACAGCCTTCGATCACCGACTGAAGACATCTGAAGAATAAAATGTTACTTTTAGAAATCTTTTTTTTTCCTTGACATACACTGTACACATAACTAATCTATAATAAGTCGTCACGAATGGAATTTAAGAAAACACCATATGAGAATGTGCAGGGCTTTCATTAAGATCTGGGCACCAAGCAAATTGACCGTCTGGATTGAACATCTACGGAAACGTTTTTCTCATAAAGATGTTCAATCAAAAAAGTTTTGCCCTCCTGTTGAAAACATTAATGAAACCCCTGAATGTGTATGTTGATTATGCAAGCTGTTTCTGTGCCTCTATACAGAAACTATGAAACTCCAGATGTGCTTACGTTTGGAGAGACTCAACTGAAAAAAAAAACAGTGGAAACACTCGCCTTGGGGGATTGTGTCACCACAGCATTTCTTACAACTCCACAAACCTTGCAGTTGAGTACATTTCTATAACTTTCCAGGAACAAGAAAATCCTTGGTGTTTCTTTATCAACTTTATAAAGAGCTTTAGACAAACCTCATACTCGTCTCTAGATGTTTCCAGCCTGCTGTGTCATGGAATATCTGAGCTGCATCTGCTTTCTTGTGCTAGGAAGTTGCAAGAAAAATTTTACAAAAAAAAGAAAAAAAACATAGCACCAGGCCACGTGGTAGGGATCATTGCAAGATGCTGCCTTAAAGTTTACAACAGCACATTAGCTGAGGACAAAACTTTATCAGCTGTAAATATGCTTGCACTCAAAGGAACCATCAAGGTTTCCCAGCATTTCATGATGTCAACATGACCACAAAAAGCAAGACTGAGAGTGAATTTCCTTGCATATCCTTAGACAAATTTGGTGAAATCTGGCAGACTGGCGATAAAAAATTTACTTTACTTGGAGCCAGTTTTTCAGGGAAAACTATCTGACCAGTTTTTACACAGCGGGAAAAGACTAGCGTTACAAAAATTGAAAAAATTGTACATGCAATCCCTACGCCTACTTTTTACATATTACATTCTTATCCTGGGTTATACATGGAAGAAGAAGAAGCTGTTAAGGATGTTGATGACAATCCTACAAAGTGCCAAGTAACAACATGCAATAGACTAGCAACCCATTTTTTATGAAAAACTATGCTTTCCCAACACATCATGTTAAACTACAAAAACAGTCTATTGCCAAGGCATTAATAGGCTTTAATAGGCTGAAAACAGAGCTTCCTGCAGGCTAAAGAAGATGACCAACTCTTTGTTCCTGACACTGTTAACTCAAGCTAAAATACTTACAGTATCTTGTTCTGTGTCCTTTTCAGCACCAGTCAGTTTATAAACAAGTCCCTCAGCTACCTCACAAGGATCAGGCAGTTTCCTCTCCAGATTTTCACTGACATTTTTTAAAATCTCATCACGACAAGCTATAAACACTGCTGGTCCTTTTGCTGCACAAAGAGCTCCAAGCACCTCCCCTTTTAAATCAAACAGAAAATCACTTAATAAGGGTTGACACTTTTATTACAGGAGGGAGGAACTGAGTTAGGGCCAAGGAAACATAACTGGATTAGAATTCAAAATTCATACTCAAAACTGTACTCAAACTACTATCTAAGGGATGGAGCATTATTTTTTCAGGGGGGTGGTGAGTTGGGTAATTTCCAATGGGGAAAAAGGTCAGGCAAGTGCTTTCTACTAACCAGGTCCTGTGTTTGACT